CAGCAGAAGAACCAAGAAGGGTAGAGGAAAATTTCTTCCTCCCCTACAGTACTTCCATAAACCTAGATGGTAGAGTCTACTACACACCTAGGCAATATGGTACTAATCTTATGGGACCACCATCGCACATGCAGTTGTTATGTGGTGCATGACTGCATACAGACAAGAAAATTATGATTCAAAGAGAATATGCTGTTTGTTCAATATCATTCAGCTAGTAAAAATAGAGGTAGAAAAGGAACACAAGCTTCTATGCTCTGTCCACTAATTTTATCACCTGAAATTAAATTAAAATCCAAATAGTTAAGTCTCTCCTTGTTGTGCTATTGGATAAACTGCCCTCAAAGATCCTAGAATTCCTCTCTTCACATTTTGCTGTTCTGAGTTTAATGGCAGCAGGATTTTCCATCCTAGCTTCCCATGAAGTGCTTCTAGAAATGCATTTGCCGTGTAGTACAATGAGATTTTAAAAAATCTATCCAACACAAAAAGGAAAGACTCCTAGAAATTCCTAATCCTCGAATTAGATTATTTTTACTTTGTGCTGAAGAAAACCCTATGGTCCTGTGGATTTTCCCCTAAATGCCATATTGCCATATATCAAAAACTACTGACGAAAGCAAAAAAACCCTGAGCCTGGTGTAGTTGAAATTGGAAACTACACACGCTGCTGGTGCATAAATTGGTACAATCCATTTGGAAAAAAATATATAGCAACGTAAAATGAATCATAAAAATGTTCATACCCTATAATCCAGCAATCTCACTCCTGGGAATTTATCCTAGACAAGTTATTCAATAGAAGAAGAAAAAACTACATATACACAAATGTTCACTGCATCGTTGTCTCTAATAGCAAAGAACACAATAAGAACAACAAAAAATGAAAACAAAATACACGAGAAAATGGCTTAGTACATTATAGTACATGCTTACGATAAATTACTCTTCAGCTCTTAAAAATAATAATCATGAAGACTTGGTAATGATACAGAAAAATGTCATGGTATTAAAGGAAAAGTAGAATACAAAAGGATTTTTATATTATAATCTTCAGCTTTGCAGATAGCTATGTCTCCATGTAGACAGCCGGAAGGTAATATTCAGAAATAAAACAGCATTGTAGGTATTATGATTTGAAATGTTTATACTTACATTTTTTCAAAATTTTTCTTTCATGTTGTACTGTCTTTTCTATTAAATATAAATTTTTCAATTCTTTCTGAAATAAATTTGGATTTCTGAGTTTTTCTCTAATTCTCACTCAGCAAAGAACTGGCTCTTCCCATCTTAAACTGACAATCCTTTACTTGAAAAACACAAGCAATATAATATTTCCAAATGTCCAAATCTAAAGATGGAGAGGAAGAAAACAAGGCTGGATCCATCCATGTTGTTGTTGCTGTCTGACGGACTGCTGATGAACTCAGGAACCCAGACAGGAGAGTAAAAGAGAGGGACACCAGGGCCCTCTTCAGAGTGGTGGTGTGTTCACAAGGCCATCTGGAGAGTGGCCCGGGGTTCGAAAAAGGTCGGTATCATATTTACCTGCCTCGCCAGGCTGCTGCCTGGTGTCATCCCCCTTCTGCTCATTTCACAGGTATCTTCTGAGGCCCTGACTCTCTGGGGGTGCCCAGATGCCTGAGATGTCACAAGGCCATGCTCTACTTCAGAATAGATATCACAGAGAAGGAAGCTTCTCAGGAGTCATATCCAGGGACATGCCCTGTGTGCCTGATGGGGAGGAACAGGTTACCTAATACCTAATGTCTGGCTGATACTCAACTTTGCAGATATAGAACTCAGCTTTGTTTGCTCTCTCAGAGCTGGCCAACCTAGGGAAACTGATCCACACTGACAATCCCCACATGAGCCTTATGTTGAAGCTACATGATTGCCTTGTGAAGGAAAGGGAGTTGGCTGGAAACCAGAGCCAGAGAAACATCCAGGGCACTCCCCGTACCCTGGAGGTCAAACCACCAATGAGAAGAATGTTAGGTGAGCACAGAACCCAACAGAGTGCTGATGCATTCAGGGAGGACTCCCATCCAGCCAGTGGCCTGAGGGACAGGATGTAGCTCCTCTATAACCAAAGAACCTGGCAAAACTATCCAGAAGCAGTGTCTCATCACCCATAACCCTACCTCCACCCCCTGGATAGTCTTGGTCCTTGCTCCAGGCCCTAGTTACAGGACACCTGATGGTTACTTCTAATTCCCAAAGCTCTGCCCAGCTTACCTTCATTCACAGACCATCTTTTCAAGGGTAGTTTCCAGGTAGCTCAGCTCATCCCTTGTGCACTTACTGGCTAGTTTTGATGTCAAATAGATGATGATCTCTTCTTGGACCTTGCCCCCAATTCTCAAGGCCCCCCTGTCTGCTGGTCACAGGCAATATGTGATTAAGGATTGATGGAGTGATGAAGACCATAATGCTGTGAAGTCAGAAAGGGAATGGTCACTGAGGTAAAATCAGGAGATCTAGAGGGAAAAGACTAAAGGCTAGGCCCTGGCTCTCTATCTTAGCAGCATTGAGGCTCCGGCAAGTCACTCAACCATTTGTGCCTCAATTTTCTCACGCATAAAATGGGGCCGGTAGTGTTGACTTCTCAGGCAGGTGCATTTTGTAAACTGCAAGGTGTATTTGGCTATTGTCACTGTGGACTGGAGTGTTCTATGAAGAAGCAGAACATAAAGTGGGCCTTAAAGGCTGAGGAAGATCCAGGATATCTGGTCAGAAAGAAGGGCACATAAGCCATGAGAAATGGCACGAGCACAGGCAAAAAGGCAGAAGGGACGTACCAAGTTTGGCTGCAGTAGAAAGCTTGTGTGGGGAGAAGCTGAGAAAGATCAGAAAGGCAAATGAGCTATATCCTGTTGGTAACAGGGAGCTACTGAACTTTTTGATCAAGTAAGTGAAAGGATGAAAGTCATGTTTTGGGAAGATTAACCTTGCAGAGGTGTGAAGGATGGAGGGATTGGAGGAGGGTTAGAATGCAGGCAGGGTGATCACAGGAGGGTGTTGAACTTGAGATGAGATATGATGAGGGCCTTAACGAAGGCAGTGGCGAAGGGCTATAGAGGAAGCACATTTGTGAGACAGATATAGAATGAAAGGATACGATGACAGTGTATCAGAGAAAAAGAAGCCTTGAGGACAATTATCAGGTCTCTGACATCACTAGTTGGACAACAGTGCCACTCACCAAGATACTGAATAAAGGAGAAGGCACCAATGAGCAGGGAAGATTGAAGTCTTCAGATATGTTTATCTAGTTTGTCTGTAGAACGTCCAAGGGATACTAACCAGAAATTAAGCGAATATATGAGTGTGGAGCTCAGCAATAGAGATGTGAATTGAAGTCACCCAAGATGAGTTCACCCAAGAGGACTGTGTACTGTGAAAAGTTAAGAGGGGCAAGGACAGGAGGCTGAAGAACATCAACATCTAAAGGGCAGACAAAGTCAGAAGAACCTGAAAAGAAGACTGAGAAGTAGCCAGAAAGATACGAGGAAGGCAAGAGTTCCCCTAGAAAAAGAAGTCAAAGGGGTAAAGCACAACCGAGAGAACAAGTGGTATGAGGAACTGGAAGAGTGCATCCAATTTGGTGTTTGGTTAACTGATGAGTTTGGTAAGAGCAATTTCATCAAAATAGCGGGGCTGAGAGCTAGACTGCAGTGGATTAAACAAAGAATGGGAAGTGAGCAAATGGACAGGATTTACAGACTACTCTTGGGGAACTTGGCTGTAAAGGAAGGAGCAAAGGCAGTAAACAGAGACAGGGAGAATTTAGGACATTTTAGCTAAAATATATTTTAGCTGGGGAATAGAAGGGACAGAGGCAGAGAAAATAAATACACACACACACACACACACACACACACGGAAACTGAGGGAATGGGATCTTGAACACTAGTTGAGACAGTGAACACTGGTTGAGACTTAAGACAGGAGGGATGCCTCTTCCATTAGTGAAGAAATGGAGCGGAGGGTAGGTTCATTCATTCACTTAACAATCATTTGTTGAACATATACTGCATGCCAGGAACTGGGAGTGCACAGATAGAAAAAAGTAATTATTGAGACTTTAAGGAATTTGGTCTAGTGGGGAAAACAAATGTGGATCAACAATTATTTGAGCTATGTACTAGATTTTGTGGAGGCACAAGTGGGGGAAGTGAGCAACTATGACTGAGTAGGTCAGAGAAGTTTCACAAAAGAGGAGACACTTGTATCTGGTCCAGGTTGAGCACGGGTTCTCCGGTCCAGGAGAGGAAGGAGTCATGGGCATGTCAAATAGGTTAAGGTGAAAATTAAAACGTGGCGGTTAGAAAATGTACAAGGTTTGGATAAAAAGGACCGTAAAGTAACCAGGCTTATAGGTCCCTGAAGCATAGCAGAGTTCAAACTGAGGACGCGCAGGACGACAGCACAAAGGCAAAAGAGAAAAGAAGGCCGAGCGCCCCCTCAGGAGCGTGGGTCCCGGAGGCTGGTAAAGACATCTAGGTAGGGACTTCAAAGGGACCAGATCGAGACACCGGTGGGCACACTGAGGTCAAACAATGCCTCGTGGCTCCTCACTGCGGCCAAGGGACAAAGAAGCAACCGCTACCGCCGGGGCCGAGCAGACCACTAAAAACAGAACGAGGGGCGCGGGACTGCTCGGGGCTGGGGCGTTTGGTGAGCAGCTGAGAAATACGGTGCTCTAGGCAGCTTCCTGGGTCAAGACGTCAGGGAAAAGGGCCCGGCCCACCTGGGCCGCCACAGCGTGCACCACAGCGCCCCACGGCCCGGCTCCCACGACAGCTCTCAGCCTCCGAGCCGGAGCGCACGACGGGCTGCACCAGAAAGGCCTCCCGGGCGCCGCCGCCGCCGCCGCCGCCGCCGCCGCCGCCACCTTCGCTGTGAGGGCGACGATAACCCGCAGGAAGAGGAAACCCCGAAGCCCGCAGCCGCGCGAGACCCGAGACACTAAAGAGGCCCCGCCCGAGGCCGGGGCTCCCTGGCCGGAAGTGAGGCGTTGGCTCCGCCCCCGTGATCGATAGCTCGCGAGACTTCGGAAAGGCCTCCCTTTTTCGTCTCGGCCGCCAACATGGTAGGTGTTTCTTCTCGGGTTTCTGCATCATTCCTGGCGCGTGTCGTGAGTTCCACTTGCCTTACACCCAAGCCACCTACCCCCAGCTTTAGCCCGGTGTTTCGGGCCGCGCATGGCCGGCCGCAGGGCTGAGGGGCCGGCGTGGGCCCGGTAGCCTGGGGCCGCGTGTTGGACCCGGGGTTCGGATCTCTGGGACACGCGGGCCGGGGCGTTTGGGCGCCGCCCTCATGAGGCCGCACGGCCCCGGGCCAGTTCGTAACCCCAGCTTTGCTGTACGCGCCACGAGGCAGGTCCCTGACCCCCAGGTCTCCAGGCCCTTCGCAGACTGGCAGGCTTCGCCACCTTCTTTAGGCTTTATCACCAAGCACCTTTTTCCACGCAGCCGTCCAGACTGAGGAAGACCCGGAAACTTCGGGGCCACGTGAGCCACGGCCACGGCCGCATCGGTAAGTGCCGACTTCCCATCCTGGTCGGCCTTGGGCTCTCCCTGCAGGGTCTCAGCTACTTGGAAAGCATGTGGGTAAGAGCTTAGAAGTGGGTAACAGCTTTGTGCGTTCGAGTCGGATTGAATTTGGCCGTTAGCTGTTGGCTTTTTCTTTTTAAGAATTTTCTAGTGCTCCAGTTTTAGAGAATTTCACATCATTTGGGGGTATGAGAATTGAGCAGGGCACAGTATTTAATTGGTTGAAGGCATGGAGTAGTGTGGTAGTGCTGCAAAGAGATGTTTAACTCGGAGTCTTGAAGGAACAGCGATGCTGAAAGAGGTATTGTAGACTGGCAAAGGCACCGAAGCGTGGGGAAATGTTTTTGTGGGAAATACTGAGGGGCTGGAGAAGGCTGTGTTAGCCATGTAGCTTTGTATTCCTGCAGGCAAGCACCGGAAGCACCCGGGAGGCAGGGGTAATGCTGGTGGCCTGCATCATCACAGGATCAACTTTGACAAATAGTGAGTGTTCCTTGGACTGCTTTTACTGACACTGACAATTTTGGAGTTAGGGGCAGAGGGCTGGCTCAGAACATCTTTAATGGGAAGCAAGCCTCTTACTACTCACAGACCTTACGTTTTGCTGGCTTTTACTGAGTTAACACTTGTCGTGACTTGAGAGCTTGTTGTCGAGGCTAGAGTCACGCTTGGGTATCAGCTGTTGCCTTAGTGTGCTAGAGTCCTCGAAGAGTAACTGCTGACCATATTCACTGGCTGTGGCCCTCGTGGCATAGTCAGTCACCAGGTTAGTGACAGGCATCCGATTGACCTATACAACTGTTAGATTTCGCTTATGCCCACAAATTGGGGGATGGTAGTTTAACTATTTGCTTGGAAGACCTCTATTGTAGGACTCTTTTATTTCCAAAAAATGCTGTCAAGTGACCTGAATTCTAGTCTTGGCATTGCCTCTGTCTTAGTGACTTATCCTGGTTTCATGAAATAAGGCCAGTCTTTTCCTTTTGAAAGTCTTTGGTGGCTTTTTAAAAATTTGTTTTATTCAGCAAATGGAGTACCTGCTGTGTCACTGTTCTACACCCATGAACAACTTACACTGTAGTGGGGGGAGATGGACTATAAAGATGATAAACATAGTGTCTTAATGGAGTGAGGTTATGAAAGTGGTTGCCTTCTCCTCCCAGTCACCCAGGTTACTTTGGGAAAGTGGGTATGAGGCATTACCACTTAAAGAGGAACCAGAGCTTCTGCCCAACTGTCAACCTTGATAAACTGTGGACCTTGGTCAGTGAGCAGACACGGGTAAATGCTGCCAAGAACAAGACTGGAGCTGCTCCTATCATTGATGTGGTGCGATCAGTGAGTAAATGAATATTTTTCGCCTTTGTTTGGGTCTTTGCCTCTCAAAACTCTGGGTAAGCTAGTCTGCTTCATCTCCCACTTGAAGTCTATACCCAGTTACCTACCAGACAGTTCCACCTTTTGGTAGAATTTCCACACGTAATTCTCTAGTTCAATTGTGATTAAAGCAAAACATCTGAAGAGTAATCCTTCTACTTCCTCATTCATTCAGTTACTTCATTTTCATTTGAATGTTTTTCCCACTAGTAGTCTTCTCATTCTTACTGTTACTGGCCTGATTGTGCAGATTTGCATTTCTTGCCTGAGCTATTGGTAATATCTTAGCTCAGCTGCCTCTGGTCTCTTTTACACAAGCCTACGTGAGGCACAGCTCTTGACCCTTCCTGTTCCTTACAGAATAAAATCCTAATGTGTTCAGTTGTTGTTTAAGGCCCTACATTATCTGAAGAGCTGCCCTCTCTGCCAAGCATTTTTGTTTATTATTTGGAGTTCTGGTCCTTGTGTCAGCCTTATATCCCATTGCTATGGAGGTAGCTTGAACCCTGAGGGGGCTGTTAGTTAAGTTTTAAATCCCCTTTCCCAGCCTGTTTAACATCTCTTGAGCAATTTTGATGGTCAAGACCTTTTGGAACATTGCTGCAAATGTGGTTTTCCTTTTTTGCTTATTATATAGTAATTGAGTAGGAGAGCGGGATTTATGCTTGCCCGAGACTAGAGTCACATCCTGACACAGCTCTTGTCCTGGTGTGCTAGAGTCCTCGGAGAGAATCTACTGGTCTTGATTCACTGGCGAGGGCAGTCAGTGCCCCCGGTAGTGCCCAGATCAGAAACATGCCCTCCTAGGCTCCTAGGGGGAGTGGGTTGGCAGGCATCTTTTCTCATACCCATCAGGGAGTTGGTACTTGCCATGGTGTATTAAAAACGCTTTTCTCTCTTCTTCTAGGGCTACTACAAAGTTTTGGGAAAGGGAAAGCTCCCCAAGCAGCCTGTCATCGTGAAGGCCAAATTCTTCAGCAGAAGAGCTGAGGAGAAGATTAAGGGTGTTGGGGGGGCCTGTGTCCTGGTAGCTTGAAGCTACATGGAGGGAGATTCATTAAATGCTAGCAAGTGCTTTTCTCTTCTAGTCTGAGTGTAGGTTCTTTGGCACTTCTACCTCTATCTGTACATCAGAAACCCACCTAACAGGTTCTAGGAGTAAGGGTAAGAGGGCCTGGGCTCGTCTGCTAACTCCCCTAAGAGAAGTGTGCAAGAGATGGCACCAACGCTTAGAGGTCTTGGCAGGTTACCTAACTTGAACCTTTACATTTATAAAGTAAGAATGATACCTGTTTATGACATATATATCTTATAGTTGCATTGTATACTTGGAATTTACAATCAGTGCGAGAATGTGCCCTTAATTGTTCCATGAGGCTCAAAAGGGCTGAAGACTCAGTTTTGATGGGACGTGGTCTTCACAGAATTTTGATGGGTCACATGTTAAAGGGGACAGTGATGGGATTGAGGCAGGTCTTTGGGACTTAATTCCTGAATTTAAGGTTTTTCCACCTGGCTCCCTCATCTTGGACCAAACCATTCTAGTTATAACCAAAATCTTGAGATGGGGCCCAGCAGTCTGAATTTTAAACACACCAGGGCTTTTACATATCAAAGTGGTTTGAATTCTAGAGAGCACTTGTCAGGATTTATGGATCACTGTACACAGGAGTCTTAATGCTGATAAAAATATGTCATGAAATGCTTACAGTTTTTCTTCTAGTCTGAAATGTATCCAGTAGAGAAATTTGAGAATCTTAAAGGCTAGAAACTGGCATCAGGTTTTCTAGGGTTTGTTATCTCCTGCAAAACCGTGATGATGACTAATGCTTGCATGCAGATAGGACCCTCATAGATCTCAGGGTAAATTATAATTTGCTACAGTTTTTATAGTGGTTCCCCAAATTTTGAAAATGTTTTGACCCAAAATAAAACTTACAGTCTGGTATAGAACCCTGGCCAAAAAAATAGTTAAGGTAGCACTTAAACCTACTAAAACTATTACAGTCATGGGTCGTTTAATGACAGGGACATGTTCTGAGAAATGCATTAAGTTATTTATTTCATCATTGTGTTAACATCATAGACTGTACTTAACAGAAACCTAGATTGTCCAGTCTACTACACACTAAGTTTGGTGAAGGGTTGTTTCTTTAGAGGATATTGGAGACCATCAGTTATAGGGAGCACGAGGGAGGAAGCTTACTTGATTTGGATAACGGAGAGTTATAAGGTGTCAGGAAGGCTTTACTCAGTTGGACAAACTGATAACTGGGTCATTGGTTTGCATCTTCCATAATGGTGCTAAGGGAGAAGGGGAAAAAGGATGGGTTTTCCCTCAGTGTTTTTTGGAGAGCTTCTAATATGGAGGCTGAGGCTTCAGATGGTCAGTAGTTGATAAAGAATTAAGAGACTACATTTAATTTGATTTAATGGCATTTCATTGATTCTGACTAGACACTGAAGGTACAGAAATATATAAATACTGTGTCTTAAGATTCAGATGGTGTTTGAAATTTAGATCCAAACCCAACAGCTGTGTGACTTATACTTAGTCCAATTTTCTCATCTTTAACATTTAGGTGAAGGTGTCTACTTGAGGATTAAGTAAAATGGAAAAAGCATTTATTAAACCTTTTTGTTTGACCCTTACTAACTGTTATGTAATGTGAACTATTATGGAAGCAGACAGGTCGACCTCCTTGGTGTGATTCAGTCAATGGGAAAGTGGTTAAAGCAGAGGGAAGAGCAAAACATGCATTTAGGAAACCAATTTGGAAAGGTTAGGTAAATAGGGGGAGGTGTTATGCGGGAGATGGGCCTAGAGAGCGATTACTCGGTAACCAGGCTGTAGTTTAGGGACTGGGCCACTGCCAGCCTGGAGGCAGGACCAAGAAAATGGGAATGAGAACAGAAAAGGGATAGGATTCAGAAGAAATAATGGACAGGACTTGATTACTGACTGGAGTGGGGCTGACAGCAAAATGGTTAAGCCTGTAAGGGTCGAGTTTAGGGGAAGATGGATGATCACTCATCCCTTAATGACCAGCTTCTTCCCCAGGAATTGATTGGTGGCACCCTGTGGTAGCATAACTGTCCAGAAACAGATTGGGGTTGGATGAGATAATACTCATCCCAATCCTATATGGTGGTGCAGATGGACATGCTAAATGTGAAAGTCACTAGTACAGCCATTCTAAATAGAATTGACGCCCCAGGTACCATGCCATCCCATATCCTAGCTTGTGATGTATTTTCAGCTGCCTTGGTCCCAGCTTGTTCACTCACCGGTATGACAGCTAATAGCTGAGCTGATGCTCTGACTGATTGCTCTCTAGGTGGTACTATTGCCAGAGGAAGCTGGGTGACTGGAGAAAAGCCAAACGTTCATGTCCCAAATAAATGAAGGACACTGACCTACTAGATGGATCATTTGTTTTATGGGACCAATGGCAAATGATATGTTTTGATTTTCAGTCGAGAGTAAAAGGTACCACTGCTGAGATAACAAAACATAGTCAATGCACAGAAAACTTCATGTGACTGCCAAGCATTGACTAGCCTGTGCTGTAGACACAGAGGCCCATACTGCCACTCTAGTCGCCAGTAAGTAGACAGGGTTAATGAAGTCCTCTCATATTCGGGGGAACAGAGCTTTATCATATGCCCCACTAACTCAGTGGCCTTAACTTTTTGTTCATGTACCTTTTAAAATGTGAAAAATGGTATCATCTAGCACATTAGTTTGACAGCCAAATGTTCTATAAGCTTGCATTGCTAAGGATACAATTTCTGGCTTAATGTGCTTTAAATATATTTTCATCCAAATCTTGGTGCTGCAACTGTAATTTCCGATTTATGGGAAATGTCTGCCACATAATTTGCAAAATCAGTTCTCATTGTCCAAATCGGCTAAATCGGATTTAAAATAAACATTCCTATTCGATGGCTAGCCCAAGAGCAGCCAGCCCCTGGGAATGAAAACAAGCAGAAGGCACGCACCACCGGCGGAGGATGTGCAGCGCCCGCCTACCCTAGAAGGTGGGAGGCTATGCGGGTTCCGGCGGCTGGAGGCCTGTATAGCCTAGCACTCCCACAGCCACCCTCGGTATATGACGCCCGCTGCCTCTCAGCTCGTCTCCACCCCCGAGAGTCACTTCCGGAGGGCGTGAGGTTCCAGTTCCGGGGTCACCTTGACCTCTCCCCAACACCCTCGTCCTACGGCCGGAAGCACTATCGGAGCCGGCTCCAGCTCTCGGCCCAGCCATTTCCGGCAGGGGGCGGGGCCGGCGCGCGGAAATACTTTCCCGGGCGAGGCGGGAGGTTTAATTCGGCCCCGATTCCCGTGCGGCGTGGGCCCCTTCAGAGCGAAGGTCTCCGCCACCCTTGCAGCACTCCAGATCACGTTCTGGCTGCGCTTGAGAACAGGAGGCGTGGTCTTTATATACACTTTCAAGATGGGAATTTCCAAACCTCTCAAAATTAACTTTGTTTCAGTTGTCAAAAAGAATGAGCGCCAATTATGTTCAAGGCACCTTGGGCTAAAAAAAATGCCTGTACACAGATGGAAATGTTCTGGAAGAACATAAAACAGAGAAGGGATTTCTTCATGAGTTTGGGGCCGTGAGGGAGATGATGAAGGTTTTGGTACAGTTTGAGTTTCTTGCTTAGCCAAATGCATGTTACTTGCATATTAAAAGGCAATATAAATGGACAAAAAATAGAGTTACCAGTAACTTGCCAGTGCTGGAAAGTAATATTTTCTCTTGTTCTAGAGTTTTGATGACCTTTTAGACTCACCCCCACACCTCCATAAGCAAATAAATTTAAGATGTTTTGGAACGCATACCACCACATTGTCTGGCTCTAGAAACTAATTTTCTATATCACTGTTAGTAACAATATAGGTTAAAGTGTATGTTTCATTTCCAGCTCTATTTTAAGCCCAATTTTTGTTTTACTGTCATTCCCACTTTTTTTTTTAATATCCTGTCTATGTACCCTGATAAATAAGTCATTTTCTGTACAAGGTAGGTTACAAGTCTACATGTGAAATAAAGGGTATTGTTAACAAAAATTTAACTGAGCTGTGATTATAATTAGAATTATTTTCTTGGGGCCCTATTCCACAGACCATCCAATGTGAACCAGATTTGGAATAATACTGCTTTCCCTGGGCACGCCTTCAAAATAATGCCTTTAAAAAGCCTAGACTCCTCATTTCAGCACTACAGTTTGCCAGAGCACAGTTACTTACAGAAAAGAGCATTTAGAAAGATGTGATGGGGCAGCCCGCCCTGCCCTAAAAGTTATCAGACTGATTACAGGAGAAAACCCAGGGCCTTTCTTAGCTCCAGAATAGAGGAGGGCTGACAGCCCACGGGCACTGGGACTTTTGCTAGTGGAGACACTGCATTGCCCCTCAGCAGTTGCCCCAGGGTTGTCAGGCACTGTTTAAGGACACTTGTTCTCAATGGTAGCAATACCGTCCTCTAGGGGGCATTTTGGAAATGTCTGGGGGCATTTTTTGTCACTATCATGGAGAAGCAACCAGGGATTTTAGATGTCCTGCAATGTATGGGTTGATTTAAACGACAGAGAAAAAAATCTAGCTTAGAACCTAACTCCATTTTACACATAATCAAAAAGTTCTGTTTTGTTTTAGTTTTCATATGCTTCTCAGTTTTCCAGGATTCCAAATAATGTTTAAGTCAGGGGAAGCTCATACTGTATTTTGTTCAGAATGTTACCAAAAACTGTTCATTTCAGAAACCTCTCTTACCCATGGTAACAACCTACTCAGTAGAATCTGAGTTGCTAATACAACACACTTTTATCTGTCTGCATGTGTAGCATTGCATTCACAGTAATTCTACATACAGGCATAAGCATCTGACTTCATTGTATCTTCTAGTATAGCTCTGCCCAAGTATTTACATATTTAAATACATGTTATTTTATAACAAAATACTTTCCTTTTATTTCTCCCCTTTTATATTACAGTTAAAATGTGTTTAGGTAGGTTATATTATCTATATATTTCATTTCAGGATAGTAAAGGGGAGAGTTACAGTATTTGCTA